TGTTTATTTTTTTAAAAAAAGTGATGATTAAAATTGTAATAAAACTTAAACATATAAAAGTGAATTTATACATTTTCTTTGTTCTTGAGAATTGACGACATCAATAATAAAAACTTTTTAGTAGCTTGTTTATTTACACTATTTATTTCTGATATTGTTTATTGGAATGATTGGGAAAACATAGGCTCATTACGAGTCGATTCTAACTTTATAAAATGGTAAATAATAAAGATTTCCTCACAGTTGTATATTCTCAAGAAGAAAAGAAATGTATAAATTTACTTTCATCATATGCTTATGTTTTTTTTGTTACAATTCTAATCATCGATTTTTTAAAGTAACAAACATTGCAGAAGATGGAAGGTAGTCAAGGGAAAAAGGGTTGTCAAGGAAAAATGTGTCCTTTTGACATTCCTTTTTTTGCAGGCGCTAATGAATAAGTTTGCCGAATTTTTATAATATTGAAAATTATAATTTATATTAATTCATAATTTTTAAAATTTGTTTTTATATAGCATAATCGGCGTTTATCAATATATTTGTATTTGCCTCGGTACTCTTTCCTTTATTTAACAATTTTGATTTAAATATTCTTAATTTTTTTAATACAGTCTGCAGTTTCTACTATTAATATTATATGGAGGTAACATTTTATGATTTCATAATTTAATATTGACAGATTTTTTTGTTTTTGTTCCTATATTGTTGTAGAGTAGTTTTCACAGTGGAGGCTTGTATTTCAATAAGTCGTCCTAAATTAGGTTCGACGTACAAAACGTTAGGAACTTGAAATAAGAGTTAATGACGCAGCAATCTAGTTGTGATGGTTGATACTTCAATGTCCGATATCGACTGACTCACTCAACACCACTAGAAATTGAGCCTTTTACTACTACTTATTATCTGTGGGAGAGTCTATTATTACAATAGAATAGGTATTATGGTATAACATATATATATATATATATATATATATATATATATATATTATTAATTAGTGCATATACGTGTACATACGGTTTGGTGTGCGACTTAATTAGCCCCCTAAATAAAATTGGACAAAATGTGTAGTAAATGCGATGAAGGTGAGTTACCATACCGAGCACTATTATGTTTACACCTCAAGTATAAATTTGATGATTATTTATCTGCTTTGAACATAGAAGTCAACATTTAGAGGTGACAGTCTGTTTCATGTTGACGCAATACGATTGCGTCTAGCATGAAACAGACTGTCGCCCTATGTTCACTTTTTTTATATTTACACACGCTCTATCTCTGATATTGAGCACTTTATCCCATAAATATAACACACCTTAAGACTATATTTCTTTATATATATATATATATATATATATATATATATATATATATATATATATATATTCAAATGGTTTTATAAAAAAGAAAACTTAGGAACATTTTAATATTTGGTTAACAATTATCATGTCATAGTGAGCAATTGTCTTGACTGAATGTCATATCAGAATAGAAAAAAGTTTTCTTTGGTAAATACATCGACTAGTTAATTTTGATACATGACAACGCCCATCCTTGTGTTGTAAATGTGATGTAGCACACGTTCATAGTGCGGAGATGAGAAGTTCTTCCTCACGCGGCATATTCTCCAGACCCCTCACTTTTGGCCTTTATTTGATTTGCTCATTCCTTGATAGCCATTTCGCGACGTCGAAGTGCCCTAATAATTTTCTAAACTTAGCTTAGATGTGGTACAAGGCCGAAAGTATGGTGCACTCATTGAGGATCGAACTTATTACTTAGTCTTAATTGCTCTTAGTCAATCACCTTGCGCTTATCAATAATATTGATACAGGATATTAATAAATGTATAGGCTATCTTTTGGTTATTTCTGTACATCTAAGGTCACAGGACTTTGCTAAATTGTTACATTGCTCAAGCATGATTTTGTGCCATTTCCCTGCTGTTTTTGCAGTACTACCTCCGAAAGGCACTTGATGTAGGCTTCCGTGATGAGTCTGAGGCCCTCACCAACAAATTTTCTCATCAGAACGATTAGAGTGAGATTTCCGAGTTGCCGTATCTTCGTAATCACCATTAGACTCATTCAACACTTTCCGAATCCTTTGCACTTTCCTTAGATTGACATCTAAACACTTTTAAATGTTCGCATTGGAGCTTCCGACACGAATGTCAAGCAATACAGCATGTCGTTTCCAAATTTCTGGCGGAGTGAATTGCGTCATGGTGTTCTTCTTCTCACAGACGGTGCCCAACTGACCCTACTATACCGCGCAGTCGACAAATTAAAAACAAACAACTCGCATGCGCGAAATTAAAAAAATATATAAAATGGCGAAAATTTACCAATCGTATCCTGAAAACTTAGTAACTTCTCTCGAAAAGGACCTCCAGTCAGTGGATAACTGGATCAAGAAATTTCGGCTCCGAAACAAAACTGCTTTTAATTAATCGCCACAAAAAAAAAAAAATCTGTCTGCCATCAGCATGGCTGATGCTAAACTCCAGAAGCGCAACACTTTGCATCTTCATGGTTTTCCAATGACATGAAGTAGAATGATTATAGTGAATCAATTGCTAGGTCTACTGCTAGGACTTGTGGTTCATTTTGGCGTGCCAGACAATTCTTCTCGTTAGAATCCACGTTTCTCATTTATAAATCTAACATTGGTTCGTGCATTGAATGTTGCTGCCATATCTGATCTGAAGCTACTACTATATATCTTGAGATTCTTGACAAAATTCAAAGAAGGGTTTTTAATGTAATCGATCTTGAACTGGACATTCCAACCGACGTGACGTGAAGTGACGTGACTTCCCTCTGTCTTTTCTATAAATATTTTCATGGAAATTGTTCTGATGAGTTCTTCTGCTTAGTGCCTCGACTGCATGAATTTAAACGTGATACTAGATTGGCAACTAGGTATCGCCATTTTTCTGTTGCATTTGCTAGAAGAAACCGCCACTTCGATTCTAATAGTTTATTTTCACGCACTTCTCACCTGTAGAACTTCCTTCTGGTTTCTTTCTTTCCTTCCACCTACAATCATTAAAAATTGAAGTACAATGTCAATCGCCATCTTCTGTCTCCCTGCACCTGGTTCTTTACTGTCCTATTCCTCACTTTTCCTCATGTAATTATTCTCATTCTCTTTCACTTCCTGTAAATTTATTGCGTCCTAGTGGCTTTATTGCCTTGCTTGGGGTGAAATGATTAAAACAAATTACACTTTTAGATTTATTAAGTTATTTGCAATATCAGAAGTCGTCACCCTTTGAATTTTCAGTGTAAAACGGCGATATCTCTGATATCCTTAGTAAGTATAACTGGTAGAATGAAAAGATATTCTCTCTGAACAGATTCACTTCCATTTTCAAAACAATACAAGGTGATTTTTTTTTATCAAACCTTCAAATTTCTTTGTATAGGTCAAATATAAAAGCATTGCCTGCATAGATAATTACCGAACTATGACTTTATGATCCCCAAGAGTAGGAACCAAATTCTTCAGAATCAAGAATATACATGAATCCAAGTTAGCCCCAAACTGTAGAATTAATGATCAAATGAAGGCATTTTAGTCCCAGACTGTATCCAGTAAGGCACCATTCAAACCTTTGGAAATTGTCAATGTGTCCTCCCATGGCAGCCACCTACCATTTCTTTTTGCAGTCAATTGAAGTTGTTTGAAGTTTTCCAGGTTTTTAATGGAATTTTAGTCATTTAAGTGGTCTACATAGCGAAATCAGTGTTATCAGCGCATTGAGATCAAGAAGGATATATTTTTAGAGTACAAGTTTTTCTTGTCGAAGCAATAAGGATACAAAACTAAGGACGAAGAAATAAGGACAAAACTAAGGTCTAAAAAAGGGGAGGTGGTGTCGTCTTTTCAAATGGCGTAACGCCAGCAATGGGATTTCATTTGCGTTGCTGATGCCAAAACCGTTAAAAATTATTACAACTTGGCATAGTACACACTTCAATCAGTCGAGTACCATATGTGATGCTCGCTTGGGCGATCATATCTTTTTCGATTCATGACTGACTATGCAGAAGTTCTTCGCGCAGTAGATCTTCTCGTTTCTTTTTGTGGTAGACTGGTTGCCAACCAAGGTTACAGGACCTAATCTGTCTTGTTAGTAAATAAGACTGGATCTTGTAATCCCTCTCTTCTAGCCCCATAGCTGAGGTTAGAAGAGATGGATTCGTACCTTTCCAAAGAGGATTTGCGTGCAAAAGAATGTAACTCCTACTGGAACTCGAATCTCTGACTTCTCATTCCGAGCCGATATCCATAAGACCACAACACACGTCACGTATACTTCACTAAATTTATAATAATTATTACTTACTTTTTTCTGACTGTATTTCTCTCTTCCAATGAGATTATTATTTCAATTTATATTCTGTGAAAATCTAGTAAAATAATAATAATAATAATAATAGAAGAAGAATGATAATATCAAGATATTGGAAAACTATGCAAAGGTGATTAATGAAAGGTTAATTATGACAGCTCCAAGTCGTAGAACCATGAGGAGGATAAATTGAAAATGAGTAAACTTCACATCAAAAACCAAACAAAGTAAAAAGGAATAAGTTCAAAAGATAAACAAAAACAAGAATTAAAGATGGGATGAGATAGTTGTGATTGTAAAGATGACATATGTAGAGACAAATTGAATCACTATTCATGGCAGCTCTGAAAAATTCTATAATAAACAGATATATTATATATCAACGCTAAGATAGACATGACACTGCAATTTGGTAAATGACAACTCTATGGAGACGTTGATGAGGCTAGCAATCATAGGACATAGAGACTACCAATCATACAACAAGCAAATGCAGCTAGTTGATGGCAGAGAGTTACAAAAATGAGACTTGAATGGATTGAGACAGTGATATCAACGAGATTTGAACAAACGACTGCGATTGGATATTGCAGACCAATGGTATAGAAATTCGAAAATGAAATGGATTACTCAATTCAGTTTAGAAGACCAAACCCAGTTGCAGTTCCAGCAGACCAGAGAGAAAGAGAAAAATAGTGAGAAGTGCAACGTGAAGAAACAAAGAAGGTGAATCGAAAAGACAGGCAGATAGGTAAGAGAGAGAAAAAGAAAGAAAAAATGAAAGAATGAGAAAAAGAAAAAGAGAGAAAACAGGAAACAGAAATACCGAAATGAAAGAGAAGAGGTTAGAGAGAAAGAAAATATTGAGTTTTGGAATCATCTCGAAGAACATTACAGAGTTTGGAAGACTCGACATTATACGAAAAACAGCGTTATGGAAATCAGCTAAAATACCGAGGAAAGTTCTGGAGTATTGAGGGAATTGCTGTCACTGGATATCAATCCAGTGAAAACCACCATATACAACTGGCGTAAAAAACTCAATCACTACAAATAACAATGACAAAAGAATACTTTTCTCTTTTTAAATGCCATATCCTTTGAGGAAGTAGGCGATCATGTCTCTTCACAGACTCCTTTTATTTATTACCTGTGAAATGCTATTACTTCTCGGGAAAGACCGTGGAGTGATTTCTCATTGCTTTCTCCACAGATTTTAAATTCAACGTTTTTCTCCTAGACTGGCTACCACCCTAGGATAAAGAGCCAAGTCTGCTCTACTTAACCTATAACTGGTGGCAAAAGTAATGGATTCATGCCTTTCCCAAGAGCATTAGTGCGAAAATGTACTCAAGTGGTAAGGCCTGAACTTGAACTCGAATTGTCAATTCCACTTTCGGTACCGATAACAGTTACGCTACCCGCATATCCTTAACAAGAATAGCGCTGCTGCTACTAATAATAACAAGAAACAGTTATTACAATAAATAATAATGATATTAGCAAAGTTTACACGAGAGGTGACACGTATGTCCGATGACGTCATTAGGAAACAGAACGACAAAAAAAGGAATAAGAAAACAGGTAATCAGGCGTGGGTGGTAAAGAGGGGAGATTGATGGGGCAGAGGATAGGTGTCTGGGTGGAGACTAGGGACTCGTAAGATGGCAAATATTTATACCCTTGAGTGAATCGGTGGTGAGATATGGCTGGCGGCAGTGATAACATTTGATAGACAACGGTGAGTAATAACTGAAAATTATGAAGATAGAGGTGAGTAATTCTCGTTTTGTATTGGAGTGGGAGAGTGGGTGGGAGATTGAAAGGAGACAGACACACAGAGAGGTAAAAGAGAGAGATATATATATATATAGAGAGAGAGGTGTGAGGAGACAAGTTGAGTGGGAATGAGAAAATTATATACAGAAACAGCTTGTGTATGTGTATGTGTATGTTTATGTGTGTGTGTATATGTGTGTGTGAGAGAGAGAAAGAGAGAGAGAGAGAGAGAGGGCATGTGAGAGAGAGAGACTCCCTTATTTTTAAATTACTAAAGGATACTGGGGAAAACAGTAAAGAAATGAACAGATGAGGATCTGGGGATAGATAAAGATTAGGAAGATAAAGTGGATCGAGTTGGAGTATCCGCAAAATAAGTGGAGGAATCCAAAAACAAGCAAAATAGAGAGAGAGAGAGAGAGAGAGAGAAAAGAGAGAGAGAGAGAGAGAGAGAGAGAGAGAGAGTGTCTCGTGTTGGGTTAACTGTTTCCTAGACATAGTCTCCCCAAGATATCAAAAATGGGAAACGTGAGAACGGATAGTTAGCTATACAGAGAGGAATATATATATATATATATATATATATATATATATATATAGAGAGAGAGAGAGAGAGAGAGAACTTTATATGGTTTCTACTCACTTCTTCCTTAGAGAGAAAGGAAAATGAGAGAAACACTATGAATGCAGTGAAATACTTTCAATAGAGAAATCGAAGAGAAAGACGAAACAAGATATGAACAATAAGAGAGAGGGAGCGAGAGAGAGAGAGAGAGAGAGAGAGTGTGAAAGAGAAAGAGTGAGAGAGAAGAGTAAATTACAGGATACAGAGGCGAAAAGAGAGGTATGTACACAGAAGAAAAGGAGGAGGAGGAGGAGGGACAGACATACAGAAAGAATGAACAAGAGGACAAGATAGGGCGTGGAAAAGACAAAGTAAGAGAGTTGGGAATGCAGAAAGTACAAAATGCAAGAAACCAGAAGACAATGTACAAGAAAGTCAAAGGAAGAGAAGAGAGGTATGTGCAAGGAAAGAAACAGAGTAAGGGAAGGGGAGGAGAGAGAAATAGTGAAGAATTAAAGCGAAATATTTGTTGATTGCTCATCAATGAAAAAGGATCCAAGGATGTGCTGGAGCGAGAAAGATAGGGCAAAAGAAAAGGTAAACAAAAGTGAAAGAGATAGATAGATAGATAGATAGATAGATAGATAGATAGATAGAGAGAGAGAGAGAGAGAGTGAGAGAGAGAGAGAAAGAATAAAGGAAAGAAAAGCTATATGAGGTGACGAAGAAGAAAGCAAGAGAGAGAAAGAGGTGTTATAGAGTTAAAAGAATATGAACAAGAGGGAGGGAGATGAAGAGGAGAGAAAAAGAGAAAGAAAGAGAGAGGGTGCTGCATAGAGCTCTAAAGAAAGAAAAGAAAGAATGAAAAAAGTGAGAGAAAGAAAAAAGGATAAGAAATACAATATAAAGAGACAAAGAGGGTGAATTGTAAAGAGAGCGATGGTGAGAGATAGAGACAAAAGAGAGCAAAAGAAAGAAAAAAATGGATGAAAAAAATGAGAGAAAACAGAAATATAGAAATGAAAAAGAAAAGACTAGAGAGAAATAGAAAGCAATTGGGGGACAGAAATTGAAAGAGTTATTTGTATGTCTGGCCGTATTTCTGTCATTGTCCAGTGCACATGGATTTAAATTGATATTTCAAGCCCTTCCCGGCTATCGTTTTCCACTTTCTATTTCGGAACGAGACTCATGCAAAATGAATCACAATTCAAAATGGCCGCGGGAAGTCACCAAGACGAAAAGAAGTAAATTGTAGAAATCACTCACAGAAAAAAGAAAGAAAGAAAGAAAAACAACTTTCTCGCTTCGTTGATTAGCGAAACTGAAATTCACTGGAAAAGACAAAACGAAAAACCTTTAGGGTCGTCTGCTGACGTTATGCTCTTTCGAAGTGTTCGACTTTAATGATTGGTTACGCAACAAACTGGAGTAGACATCACTGATTTTTGCAAGAAAAACCTTGTTTTCTTGAAGTCTCTGACATCACTGACATTCACTGACTAATAGTGACACTCAAATGGTTTCAAATTTAGTCGATAAAATAGGTGCAATAAAAAACAATCAGATTTTCAATCTGACCAATGAAATAGCGAAGTTAATTTTGGTAAGGTTTTAATATTTGTTAATTTTCATAAGTTATCCTAACAGAATTAAAAATTAAAATATTGATAACATCCAGTAGTTTCTGAGGATGTCGATCAAGAATTGATCCATACGAGTAGTGAAAAATTATCGGTCTAACCAGAAGGATCGTCTTATAAATTTTGAACTTAGACAATTTGTCAGATTTTGCAAAAAGATTCCAGTGAATAACTGGATTTCAACTATGTATTCAGTTATAGATTGCTGAACTACTATGTGATGTCAATTCTCCTATATGACAGTGATTACTGGATGACTTCCTCCCAAGTGAAGAAGAAATTTGAGACAACGGAGATGTAGATCGACAGGAGGAGGCTGAGAATACCATAGATGGAATATGTGAACAATGAAGAAGTTTTAAGGAAAATGGAAACGAAAAAGGACTTATAACTAGAACCAGAAAGAGACAGTGGAAATTTATGTGATAAGCAATGAGGAAAGAGCGCTTGGAGAATGTAACACTCACAGTACATAGTGAAGGAAAGAGAGACAGAGTAAATGCGTAATAAGCTTTTGTAAATGGATATTATATCAGATTGGGGGAAGGATAATAAAAAGCAAACCTTGCAAAGAACAGGAGGTTGCAGAGGGCCATGATCACCCATATCCTGAAGGACACGAAAAATAAAAGAAGAATTCAATCTCCAATTATATTAAAAAATAGAAAAAAGTAAAAATCAAAAAAGAAAAAACCAAACCCCACCCCACAAAAAACGGCCCAGCAGCATAATTTAATAAGATTAGTTTAGTCTTGCAGAAGATCAAAGTAGTAGAAAAACGAGTGACGTCATTGCTAACCACTGTGCTACGGCGGGCATCTTCATGTAGACGAAGTATCAATTAAGTGCAAGCATATTTTTCGGAGTTACTTTCTACTACTGCTAAATGTTTTCATTAATTAGGCCGTAAATATTTTGCATTTAAAAGATGAAAATAGTTAAATACCAAAGACTCTTTCACAAATGATAGCCTTTTTTGACAGAATCCAACCTTAAAACCAATTATATATATATATATATATATATATATATATATATATATATATATATATGTGTGTGTGTGTGTGTGTGTGTGTGTTTTGGAAATATGTAAAATTTCCGATATAACCAAAATCTGTTAAAGGACGATAAGAATAACAACAAAAGAAAACTTATCTTAGCCAGGACGAAACGGTGAAGGGTGTACTGAGCAGACACCCTAATTTATAATATTAAAAATAAATCCAG